GGAGTGCCTGACTTACCTCACTGCTAAAATAACATCTTTTATCATGCCACTCATCCCAATCTGTTTGCTCAGTATGGCATATTCATCCATTAAAAATCCATGTTTACTTTTGTATTTTCTCTCGCTGATGCTCTAATACAGTGCTTTTATCTTAAATGGCTGTTTCAGACTATATTTCATTGTATATCTTTAAAACCATATTTATTCTTTAATAAACCTGGGCTTTGCAAGTTTTGCTGTATAGGTTTATATGAGAGACAAGAGTACAATGTTACTCCAGGTGACATCTTGCCTCCTTCAGCCTGACAGCTCCTTTGGTTCCAGAGACCTCCAGAGACTCTCTTTGTCTTAAACATCCTGAGCAACCCTGTTGTTTTTACTGTAAGCACATCCTCCTCTGTTAGCTTGACTTCAAGCTTGAAGTTAGTAAACTACATGTATTTCAAACTTCTCTATGTATGTCAGTGTCCTCTGTCTAAATGCCATTATGAGAAGGGGAATCTAAATATTAGAAAGGCTGAAATTCAGTGTTAAGTGTGGTGGTCTTTTAGGTGCAATGATGATGCACATCAACTAGTTTGGAGAGGTAAAAAGAAACATTTAGCTGCATGTGTACAGTAGGCAGGAAAAACTTGTGTTTATATTTCAATCGGGTTCACAGTGCTTTAAAAGTCATGCAACAACTATTAATTGTAGCAGTTTTTAGTATGAGATGCCATTTATTGTACATCAAAGATTATGAATAGTGCAAAGACTAATTTTTAAATGGGAAAGGGGGTCATTATTTCTGATCATTAGAGCCTTACAGCCCATTATTCATTTATGGTTGCACAAGACTTACAGCAATCTGGTGGAAATTAGGCAGACGGAAACCCTCTCATGGAAACTAATTTTCTTTGAAACAGAAGGTAGATTACTTCAGTTACTTTCAGCCCTTTTATATTATCGCCACTATATATAAAAAGTGCAGTGTGATTTCTCAGGTTTAAGCAAGCAAGATTGATTGGATATATGGTTGATCTCTAACATAATATCTAAATCCTGTGACATACATACTTTTCTATCTTAATTCCTACCTATAAGGCATTCATTAAATTGACTGAAGCATTGATACAACCAGAATAATAAAAAAAAAACATTTTTATAGCCCATGGGATGATTTCTTACTTCACTGGTTAGTTTCTTGAAGGCTTTTGTAGCGTGTGCTGTCAAATAGACTTCATCATGAGATACGAGCAGTTCAACAACACCTTTATCATTTATTTTAAATGAAAAACACCTTCTCACTCTGTTGCCGGTTGCCTCGAGATGAAATCCAGGCTTTAATGAGAAAGCTAGCAGTCTTGTCCAACAGCAGGTTCTGGGACTCAAGCAGAGAAGTGTAACAGAGTGACCTCAGTGTCTCCTATGGTATTAAAAATCGAAAGAAAGATAGGAACGTAATGCCTCTTACCACCTTCTCCCTTTTTATTATTTACAATGTCATGGACAACTGACTTTATGATAGTGCAGACAGACAAAGCCATTTTATCAGGTAGTGACAACAATCCAGGGCACAAAAATGGTTAAAGATTGATTTCAAACACCCTCTATTTCAATTATTTAATGATGCCACTTTATTCATTCAAACGTATGATATAGGAGGCATTTTTCCTTAATGCTGTATCCCCATGTCACATTACAATTCATACACAGACTGGCAATGTAGACAGCAGAATGGGTGGTGGGCTGGAAGAGAGTTCAGTGACACGGTATACTGTACTGTACATCAAAATCATACAGTTTGACATATAGCATTTCTTAAAGTTTAATTACTACTGGGAACATCCTTTAGTAAAGTGTTTCTGGAAATGGAAGGAATCATCTAGATCGAAAGTAAAGGTAAAGAGAAATGGCTACAATTTACAGTATATATAGAAGCATATAGCCTATATTATCTTTTTTTTTTATAGGCTCTGGAATCAGCATCTCATAAATTCACAATATAATAATAATAATAATAAACTTTATTTTATATAGCGCCTTTAAAGGTGGCTTCTCAAAGCGCTTTACAGGATGACAATAACAATAAATAAGAAGACTACAACAATAAATAAGAAAATTTCACAAGACAGGACACAATTATAATTACAACAATACAACAATAACAATAGAGGAGACCGTGGAAGATGGTATTAAGAAGAGCAGAGGGGTGAAGAATGGAAGCAGTTAAGTAAAGGCTTTTCTGAAAAGGAGGGTTTTGAGTCTGGATTTGAAGGAGTTTAGAGAAGGTGACTCTCTAATATCCTTGGGCAAGGAGTTCCAGAGCTTGGGGGCATAGCAGGAGAAGGCCCTGTCGCCCATACAATGTAGACGGGCTTGGGGGACAGTAAGGAGGGCAGAATTTGAAGAGCGGAGGTTGCGAGGTGGGGAGTAGGGCGATAAAAGTTCAGACAGGTATTGAGGTGCCAAGCCATGTAAAGCCTTGTAGGTGAGCATGAGGATTTTAAAGTCTACGCGGAATTTGACCGGAAGCCAGTGCAAGGACTCCAGGATAGGAGTAATGTGAACACTTGCACTAGATCTGGTCAGGATTCTGGCTGCTGAATTTTGGACATACTGCAGCTTGTTCAGAGTAGATTTAGATACCCCAGGGAGCAGAGCATTGCAGTAGTCAATTCGAGAGAATACAAATATGTTGATCAGCTTTTCAGCCACAGTTAATGATAGCATAGGGCGTAGTCTTGCGATATTTCTAAGGTGAAAAAAAGATGTTTTGACAGTATGCTGTACATGTGGGTCGAATGTTAAGCCAGAATCGAATATAACCCCAAGGTTTTTCAATTTTGATTGGAGCTCAAGTACAGAGCCATCTACAGACAGGGTTACAGGACTGGCTTTACGAAGTTGATGGGGGGTACCAATAAGCATGACTTCAGTCTTGTCACAGTTAAGATGAAGGAAGTTTTGAGTCATCCAAATTTTTATGTCAGAGATGCAATTAGATAGAATAGAGACAGCCACATCAGTGTCGGGTATGGTATGGATGTATATTTGAGTATCGTCAGCGTAAAAATGAAAGCTGAGGCCATGTGATCTTAAAAGCTGACCAAGTGGGAACATGTAAATGCTGAAGAGCAAGGGGCCCAGTATTGAGCCCTGAGGGACACCAGACTTGACAAGACCAATTTCAGACCAATTTCAGACAATTTCAGACAATGGCTTATATACAGCATGTAGATACATTACATCAACAGAAAATCAACATTTCTTGAATTCTATCCAAATCTTTCTTTTTCTGTTTGTGCATTCTGCTTTTTATATTTATTTTCAACTATACGTAGCTAAGGCCTGCAAATACATACTGTACTATATTTAGACGTCTAGGCTTAAGTATACAGTAGGTACAAAGGAAAAGAGGTAATTCAGCCCATCAAGTGGAATTAATACAGTGTCAACCACTCTGTACATTCTACTGGATTCTCATCTATGAACACGGAAAAACACTGTATAAATGCTTCAAGAAAAAAGTAAACAGCTAATTTAGAAATCTGAAATAATTTGGGGACTTTTAGATATGTACTTTTTTGCTAGGTTTTCAAAATGCAAAACATTTTTGAGAAAAAAATAAAAAGGAAAACCAGGAGCTGAGTCACTGCAGCTGAGTCAAAAAGCCCTTTCCAGTACTCTGAGGTGTTATTTTTAATAGGCCTGGCAGAAAAGAAACACCATTTACATAATTTTGAGACAGACCCAAAAAAAAGTATAGATGGGAAATGAATGAAAAAGAGCACTATACTTCAAGGAAGTTATATTTAAAGCCTAAACTATTCTGGGACTGACTGGGGAAATGTATAAATAAAACAAATTGCAGAATATGGCAGTAAATAAAACCTCATCTCCAAATTTACCACAAACTTCAAATTGACCATCAACTTTTTAACTTATCATCTTATTGCGGTTAACACTTTTATCATATTCTGAATATCATTTCCAAAAAAATAAAAATTCTTCAAATTAGTTTTATACCCACACTATAAAGAGCTCAAAAACATAGCAAATTAAACAAAACATTTTAACAATGTTATCACAATTTAGGAGACACTCAAATGCACAGTGATATTTGACAGTTAAAAAAAGCTCAAGTAATTAATTAATATTAATTGAATTTTTAGTTATCAACGTAATATTGTTTATATCAAATGAATTATGCTTGACAACATTATTGGTATTTTTAATGTTCTTAAAAATACTCTCCTTCCATGGGCAATTCTTGTTTTGCTGAATTTAAGGTTTCATACTTCCTAGAACAAATTCTAGATTTAAGACCTACCTGTAAACATTTTCTCTGGAAATGTATGTATAAGCCAGTAAACCAAACCCATTTCCTGGCAGTCAAATCCTGATCAAACGTTTTATCTCCACTGAAGATCCTCTAATTTAGAAATACTTTTGCTTGGTTTCAGCCATTTTTCTTTTTGCTGGCCTTGTGTGGTGGCATGGATTGTAACAACAGGCTACTAAATGTACCTCTATCCCAAGGGGAGAATTTGTTAGCTGACTTTATGACTTGTACTCTCATCCTCCATCAGTCAAAATCAAAAGGATAAACTGGAATAACTTAGGAGGTATACTGTTCCAATTGGCCAGCTTGCATTACTTCGACTTTCAAATGTCAAATGGCCATTAGGGTAAACTCAATAAATAGAATGTTAATGGACTGATGCAGAAGAAGCTGATTGATTACTTTCTATCCTTGGCTTCACAAAAGCCGACTGGTTAAAAGAATAATTACAATTTCTAGCAAAGAGACTGCAGCAAATAGGTTTTGGCTGTGTGACATCAGGACCATTCCATGGGTACAATAATACATGTTAGTATTCCTTTTTAACCACTATATTCATCTAATCACATAAGTCATCAAAGCAATATATTAAACTATAATACAGTGAGCCATTAAGAAGAAGAAAATGGTTTTAAAAAGACTGTGGGCCTAAGAAGGCAATTGATTTCTCACTTACTCAGAGAGATCCCAATATTTCAGCAGTCCATCCTGGGCAGCAGACATCAGGACTCCTTTGACTTCATCAGGCTGGATCATTCTGAGCTGCACTGCCTCAATCCTGAATGAAGAATTACATCTGAATTTCAGTAAATGTCGCTGGTTTGCAGTGCTGCAGGAGTAGTTTGTAAATCACGACCATGATCCAAGCTGTCGGCTTTCTTAATTATTTCATTGGACATTCATTAATGTTTCAGTTAGACATACACTAAAAGTGTTGATTTAAAAAAAAAGAAAGATAAAAGGAAGATGTAATAATGCCATTTATATGTCGGTTCTGATTTTTATGATTTTTTTTTTCTTTACAAATCCAAGTATTGTAGCAGTAAGTAATTTTTTTCCAAATCAGACTAAGAACCTCACTAAGTGTGCTTAGGTCTGGTTACATACAATATCTGTGAAATATTTTAATAGAAACACTCTAATCTCTAATCCTCCTTCTCTTTATGCTATGGAACTTTATGTTAATTTCATTGAAATTAATTATTTGTGACAAGAATTGTTTTATAGAACAGTTTCATTAGTAGTAATAAAATTAATAATAATAATCCACCGTTAAGATGAGATGTTAAACCGAGGTCCTGACTCTCAGTGGTCATTAAAGATCCCCGGGCATTTCTCGATAAGAGTAGGGAGTTATCCCGGTGTCCGGGCCTAATTTCCCCCCTCAGCCTTTACCGTGGCCTCCAAATTGTCCCCATGTATGACTGGCTTGCACTGGCCCTGTGATGGACTGGTGTCCTGTCCAGGGTGTACCCTGCCTTGCGCTCGTTGCTTGCTGGGTAGGCTCCGGCTTACCGCAACACCATATGGTAAGCGGTTTGGCAAATGACACAATAATAATAATAATAATAATTGATTTTGATAATTGATTTAATAAATGTCTATGTATTAATCTTACAAATATATTTTAAATAAAAAACAAATATACAGTTTAGGCATACATTCTTGAACATGAAAACTGACATTGAAAGTTATCTCAGATTTGTAGTTATCAAAAAGAACAACAAATTCTCTCCTTAATCACCCTGTATGGCATCTTTACCTTTTAAGGTACTCCTTCAAAACAGATTTGGTAACTGTCTGAAGGCAGAAAGATTTAAGAACTTTCACAACATGGAGTTTAAGCTACTTTTATTTTAGCGTAAATGGTATGCAATGAATTCAGTCCAGTGTAGAGAAAGTTTCGAAAACCATTCACAGAACAAAGCTCTGACCAGTGGAGCCAAAAATTAAAAATTATAACACTTCATTGAGAACATACCAGCATGAAACAGCTTATTTCATGGACTAATGGCAAGTAGTGTATGTTCACATTCACTGCATAGCAGAAAGGGCAGAAATGAAACTACAAGATACAATTCCTGAACCTCTACTTTGAAGGAAATCTGCACTGGTCGGTTCACACAAGCGAGATGCCCTAAAAGAACAACCCATATTCATTATCTTGGGTAAAAAATGATTCAGTATAAACTTTGATTGTGAAGACCAAACATCTGAAATAAAGCTTTTAAAAAAAAGTTTGAAGGCTTTCCAAAATAAAAAGAGCTTTAACTGTGTTTGATCTGGGGACTCCAGTTTAGATTCAAAAGCACAGATTCTTGTTGATATTTCACTTAGAGAAAGCATGGTCTCTCATCTCCAGTTATTCACAAATCTAAAACAGAATCTGAAATGAATAAGATAAATACTGCCAGAGCCAAGACCACATTTTCTGATCTGATATTTATGATTTTTAATTTGCGTGATTTTTTATTGATATAAAATAATAGATATACCTCATTATTAGCTTTATTACTCATCCTTGACAGAGCCAATGAAAACCTCTATACAGTATCCTCTCTCCAGGCTGTGAGATGCAGTCTTTTTCAGCTTCCTATTTTTCTTCTTATCTATTTGCTTTAAAAAAAGATTTTTCCATCAATTTAACTTCATTCACTGATGTTTAGGTATCATCACCTTATCACTTGCTGTGCAGTGCAGTTGAATCACACATAAATCTGTAATACATTTTGTGTTTTTATAGATTCAATTTAGTATCACCCTTGGACATGCTACTAATCAATATCTGTGAAAGGAGCCCACAGTGTTTTATGACACTTAGTCATAAAATAATACATTAAAGAATAATACTTTCCAACATACAGTTTTACCTTTGAAATTACCAGCAATGTTTGTGTTACAGAGTTTCCTTAGATACTGAAGCATTAAAAAAGTTAAAGGCATTAAAGTTGTATAAGAAAGAATCAAATTAAAATCCATAAAATACTAATTATTTCTTTTAAATAATTTAGTACAAAAACAAAGGGCAAAATGGAGCTGCCTGGGGTTTTTACAATCCGATTAGTTCTGCATTTTGTCACAGAACTGCTATTGCACTGTAAATTCATCTTCTTTTCATTATCCATTGAGATTTCACCAAACATATTAACTTGTCCATTGCTGCTGGCACTGTTGGTGTAAAATTTAATTTGTCTTGATTTTTCACCTTTATCTTTCAGGCAGTTATTAATGGGATCAAAAACCTATAGTGAGCATAAAAAACATATTAACTTAAACAGAAACATATTGTATGTTTTTAGGAAAATAATGTCAATATGGATTCTAGGTATAGATTAAATGTTATTGCCATCATTTTGATTAATTGATTATTCATGGCAGACTGTGATACACTCTTGCGACTCTGTTGCATAAGCACTAAGGCTTCTCATTAGTTAAAGGGTTGATTGGGCATCGGTGATAAGGCGATCTATTCTATTAAATATCAAGGTAAAAAGAAAAATGAAAAATACAGAAAGGAACTCTTTTGTCCTAACTATCAAGAGAACAAAGCCTTCATTCCTCTGGTATGCTGGGGGCTGAATTAAGTTAGCACATCATGATTTACCATGGAGTCAAGTCTTTAATTTCGAATCAAAATTTCTTGTACACCTCCCTGACAGATGCCAGCAAGTATGAAACAGACATGCAGATTAATACACCAATTGATGTAAAGTAATCAATAGGGGGGTCCAAATTCGATGGTAGTGGTTGCAGGGTGCAACACTAATCAAATCCTGGGACCTCACCTGAATTATTTTTCCATGTGACAACATTCCAGCAGAACAAAGCACTCCCTACTTTTGCTCAGGCAACAATGACTTTTAGAATAGGACAGTGTTATGCCATTGGTGCCCGACAAAAAGATAGAGTTTGCATTTTTTTCAATGATGTCCACTAACTAATAGTATGCACCCTTCACAGTAGACTTAATCAACCCTGTTGATGACACAAGTTGATCAGCATAATGATTTTAGCTATGTCATGTTTGTGCAATAAACCTTTTAGCACACCTGCTATAAAACAAGATCTCATTTTCCTGATAATTAACTTTGTGAATTTGTATAAACATTAATGTTCTTTTGATACTCGGTGTACTTAATCTACCAAATGCTGGGTCATTTACTTATCTATTGAAATGAAACATAATTAGTGAAAGTCCAAACACAAACATATTATATTATATTATTTTATTTTATGGTAAATTTTTTGGATCTCGATAAACACAGAAAGATGGTCAAAATCAAATTATCTGTTTCAATGTATCCTACAGTACATACAGTATCAACAGACCACTGTGGGTTTTCTAGTCACTGCTGATTAGATTGTAAATTTTACAATAAAATCTAATGTTTTTATTTGATTGATTATTAGATTTATTATGATAAAAAAGTAATATGTTTCCCTTTTTATTTAAGTTAATATATATTTATTATCACAGCAAATATCTGGAAGATGTGGTTTCATAGACTTTCAATGGCTCAAATGTTTTAAAAATATATACCTGTATATTTCACATAGTGTCAATATGTGACTGGAATCTTTCTTCAAAAGCAAGATTTCATAGGCTATATATTTGTGCACATACAGAGAGATTTCATATTTAAATTTTGATAAAGTGTGCACTCAGTCAGATCATGGTATGTTTGAGTAAAACATACTAAAATCAATCAAAGAGATACCGGACACAACTCTCACAGCTGACCATTAACAAAAATATATGAGGTATAATTCACATATTTATCTTAGTTTGTAAATTGTGTCTACAATACATGTATAATACACGCAATGCATTTTCAAGGTCTTTAAAAATAAAAACACAATCAAGAATAATGATGAAGCTAGATCTAGAATTATGTAAATTTTATTTAATAATTTATGTACTTAACTTTTAATAAACTAATACAAAATTCTGGTCCACAAAAAAACAAAGAGATTTTGAATAAGATAACCATTTAATTAGCCACAGAGTATTTTTTCTTCAGATGAATGATAACAGTACAAACAAAGGACCATAACTGGCAGATCATCATTATTCATTCTGGTCTTAAGTCAATTTTGATAAAATGGTTATGCACGCTAGCATATTACCGATTAGCAAAGCTCCTCTAAAAAAAATAATTTTGTCTGCAAGCTCTTGTGAGGCTCTGATGAGCTCCTCTTCTTCAGAGTCTTAGATGGATTATGTGCTGAGAGATTACGGTTAGTTCTGATCAATTATATTTCACCTCACCATAGGCAGCCCAGAGGGGTTCCAGTAGGCAGCCCCATAAACATAAGATGAATCAAACAGAAAGGTTACTGGGAGGGCATATAGCATAACTATTTCTCACAGTTACATGTTCAGTAAGAGTTTAGGTGTATATATACTGTGCTATGTTTATTGACCTACAAGGCAGGTCTCTTTAATCAGTTCCCAATCACTTAAATATTAAAAAAAGATTTAACTAAGCAAGACTTACAATTTCTTAAGACATTACAGCATACAGTAGATGTCAGCACTCTGTTCATCACTTTCATTACCTTTTTTCCACAAACTGTAAGCATTGGTGTTCGGAATTGCAAAAAAATCATAGAAACCAGCAGGTGGATGTTGCCAGAAAGTAGAATCAGTATTTTAATAGAACTATAAACAAATTATTGTAACTATAAATATTATAACACAAAATTATTCAGCCTTATTTCTGTGGTGAAATACAATTCAGGGTTAGTGCTTTGTATTTATACATTTATTTTTGTTGAGGCACTTTTCTTGTTTTCTTTTGGTAAGACTAAAAGGTTTAAGACTTAATTAAAAATAATTTTCTAACTAATTCGCATACAACACATCAGCATTGATGCAGTAACCGGCAAGACTTACTCATTCTTATGAGATAATATTTAGTAATAATCAGTAATGAATGACAAAGAACAGATTATTTCTTGGTCATAATTGATCTTATGAATTTATACTCAAGAACAATAGAACTTCAGCCTAATTGACAATTAATCACAATTTAAATCATCATAGGCTTAATCCCATGTGCATTCAGAACATCTAAAAATATGACATGATTCTAATTACAGTCATTTGTAACTGGGTATACAGTTATTTCTGATAAATATTTCTAATAAATTTGACAATGGTGGTGAAAGATACCTTACTATAATGTTTTCCATCATAGCAATAGGCTAACTACATATTGTTCATAGGAAACTCATTTCCATGGTAACCGGCACAGAGTGACAGGTGTTTAGCCAGCTACCATGGCAAATGCTACAGTAGCTCACTCCACAGCTTTGCCATGGGATCGAGCCAGAGACAACACTAATTCAAATGCCTCTGATAGACCAGGAAAGTTGGTACTCTACCTTCCAAGCTTAATCTTTCTTGAAAACAAATCATCTTCTCTTTTGAAATTGTTACTAACACAAGGAAATAAAATATAACCACATACTGTATATGGTATTTGAGCACTAGAGTTACATTGTCAATCTTGTGGCCGAACACCTGTGGTATTTTATAGAGGTAAACTCTGAAAATGCTACAAATTATTTCTTGTTGTATGAATTCTGTGGTACTGCTTCATGCTGTACGATTCCTGAGGTATTTATCCTGTGATAATACAATCCTATTATATGTTTCATGTGGTAACAACATACTCTTATGAAAAAAAGCTGTGATAGTCTTACAATACTCCTGTAGGAACCATTAAGTGAAACAGAAATTACCTCAGGATCCCTATGTATTTTCGCAAAGAGTTGCTTTACCAGGATAAATTTTAAGGAGAGAAGCTTTAAGTACTATCATGAATCTTGTCCTTTCCCAAATGGGAGACTGTCATGGCACAATAGATTAATGTACTCTTTTCTTCTACCAGCCTTTCTTCATTGGGACTAAGACTTGCATCCAGCCCAGACTAATGTGGGCAAATTAATTTAATTCTCGGAGCAGCTCAGCTTGAGTTCTGAAAATCACATGCGTCTTCTAGAAGACAGCTGTAAATAAATAGGCTTCTTTTCTAAATTGTACATTCTTCCACTTACATTCAGAAAACAGCACTAATGATATTGCAGCATGTAACAATATGTTGGAAATACTGAAGTTAACAGACTCATAAGAGAGGTCTTTTTTAACCTTTTCAGTCAGTTCTAAAGAACTGTAAGTAGAACTCTATGTCCGTTAGCCATGAACTGAAAATCACTTGCAATCTTAATGTACTGTTTGTATTTTCTTCTCATTTAATACATGTGTTGATGGAGCTAAATTCAGCAGTCAAATTAAAGTAAAAATAATTAACTACATATTTCAGTATTTAGCAAACAACTGTGCTCATGAATGTCATCATTCACTCCAATACCACAAAATTATTATTCATATTTGAGGATTAATAAAGACCTTAAAGAGGATTGCTGGGGAAGTACAAACATGATTTACCCTGCTTAGCAAGGTGTTTTTCCATTTTGGAGCTAGATGTATCTGGACATTGGAAACAAAGCTTGAGCTAATCAGTTTCTCAGGTGCTGAGCTGATTACAGTCTGTGAAGCCTCCGAGGCTGTTAGTGGTTAGATTTATGAATCTTTGTCAGTGAACAGATTCAATTAAGTTAAATTGTGTATTTACTGTATACTGTACATCTAAATGGGTGGGGAATTTAATCAACCAGGAGTTGCAAAATGAATCTGAAACCTCATGACTTTAAATTCTGTTGATAAATACTGCTATATACAACCCACTTTTGAATAAAGTTATAAATGAGAGAAGGGCAACAATATTGACCACATGTATAGAAACCCAAGGGCTTCTGGTTCTGTGAGCCTAGAGACTTTCCTCTACACCATGTTAAAGCTATGTAGGTCTGCTATATCTTTATAATTATTAACTAGCAAGTTGTCAGATGTGATTTGGTGTTAAATATTCACCTGTGTCATCTCTGTCATACTTTCAAGCATTTGCAGACAATTCTTCTGCAAGGAGCTTCTGGTGAAACGGCTTACGCTAAAAATGCTCTTCTGCTACTCACTCCCAGCAGAGCACATCACCACAGGATAAAAGAATTCATCCTTACATTTAGCAGCAGTCGGATTGCCACTGTCAATCAAGTGTAAGCTTGTGTGACCATCAAAGCTTCTGACTGTCTGAACACCATCACTGATGACTCTATAGCAGAGGTGCAACCATCAGGTACTGTGTATCTGTCACTCTTCACTAGCCCATACATCTATCACTGGGACTGTCATGAATCATGCATTAGTGAGACAGATTAATAATTCAGCAGGACACTGAGGGTTCACAAACTCCCAGATATCATAAATACCTTGTAGCTCTATGTGAAGACTCCCTCTTACCTCTTCTTGTGAGGCTCATAGATGTGAAGGCACTTCCCAGTTTCAGTGGAGTACAGCCAAACTGTAGTGCTGGCACTGCAAGCAAGGAACCCTCTGTCATAAGACAGACCAGTGATAATGTCCAGTGGGCCTTCCACCTCCACAGATGGCCACAACACCTTCAAACAATTGCCAGATGTCCAATCCCAGATTCGGATACTCTGTGGTAAAAAAACAAACAAATCAATGCGATTTGAAAAAAAAAAAGTTTAATCACTGGTGTAGCAGATATTTCAATTTAATCAGTCATCAATTTATTATAAATGTCTGTTCTACAGAATGTTAATAAAGGACTAATGAAATATTGAGTGTTGATGAGGTTAAGGTTAGCGTTATGGCCATTCTTCTGACTCAATTTACAGTGAATTCCTCATTAACAGAATATCCATTAAACCCTTGTTTAAATGACTTCATCCAATAATGATAATGATAATAATAATCCTTTACAATATTTACATCAGAACAATAAACTGGCCAAAAGGCTTACAACAGCCTAAAGAGAAGACAAAAAAATAAAATGACCACCAATAGTAAATAACATAACAGAATGTGTGAGTATTAAGCACAAGGGTCAGGCAAAAATATTTAATAATAATAATAATAATAATAATAATAATAATAATTAACCCCCTCAATTACCAAGGAGCTTACTCTGTAGTTTGTTTCAGTCATTTGCAGTAGCTAAACATAATGACTTGCTTCAAAAGTTGGTAGTTGCTCTTTGAAGATTCTTACATTCTAATAAATAGCTTTACATTTTATGATGGTACAAGGAACTGCAATAAATTATTGAGATAGGAAGATAGCTTTTCAATCCAAAATTGAATCTTAATTAATGTAAACAAGTTAACTGTTTGCTTTGAATGCAGAGAAGGCCACACAATCAAAGAACAATGGTTATAATAGTGTGATAGGAGGCATATAGCTCAATGGTGTTTATACATCAAGTTTCCCTAAAGCAGTTTCAAAAGCCATTCTGTAAGTATCAACGGCAGAGACATTTGAACTATTGTGTGACTACAGGTGGTTTAAATAAACGTTTAAGTAACCATGATATACTTTTTGTGGAGAAAAGTACCACAAAGCCTTTTGTGAGTTTAACCAAAAAATAAATATAAAACTGGAAAACAAATCCCAAAAGGTTTTTCATTTGTGAGTGGTTATACTGTCTTTGATATCTTTAAAACAATCAGTGATATCAGAAAAAATATAATGTGCAAGAGTATTATTATGAAAGCATATCAGAAATGCTTACAGAACACATATAAAATCTTAAAATCTAAATGAAAATTGTATTTTTTATAAATAGTGCAATAATATTGCAAATCAAGACGGTGACAACATATAAGGCACTCAAATTTCTCTTTTTATGAAAAAAATACAATTTCCATACAAATTACATTCATCAACAGATATTATTATTGAATAATGAAAATATCAAGCTTTTCAAGACAAGGTAAGAGGCTGGTCATTTCCATAAATCTCTGTTGAATTTATGTTGTTTCATTCTTAATGTATTCTAAGTGAATGTCGTTATTCTAATATAAACCTGACTCAAAGCTCAAAAATCAGACCTAATTTTTCCAAGTAGATGGAGTAATCACTTTGAGCAGTAATTCTATAAGTGGAATACAGCATTATTTTTTGCATGTCTGCTTCACCAGCAGGATGAATGCTGCATAAGGAAAAAGGTGAATGGATAATGGAGATTAAGGTCTCTGGTTTGCCTCTGTGTACCATTTCCACATGGACTTCCACCTGCTGTGTATTTGCATTCAAAAGGCTTGTTTGGGCTCAGGCAGTATGCTAGGGCACACCTAGGTCCAACAATTAGATTGTAGCTTGGACTCTGGCCTGGCCACTGACAATTTCCTGTTTTGTCATTTATGATCTCATAAACCCACAGACAAGTCAGCAAGGCAGGAAGCATTGCTTACAGAAATGCCATGATAGATGATATGGAAATATGTTTGATTGATGGGAATTGTGCACAATATAATAAAAGTTATTTCCTTCTAACCTTTTTCTTTACCTGACCTTGGTACTGTATCCACCTTCTTATCCACCCATCCACTCCTCCATCTCCACTTGGTAGAAATATGATCCAATACTTAGATTTTTATGTTAAGTTATGTTCATTCTTTGAATTTGTTTCAATTTTATGTGCATACCTTCCACATAACTACAATTATCTTGGGAATGCCAGGCTCAGGGTGACTTTTGTTTGCAAAGATACAGCTCATAATATTCCTCTTCTTTTCATAATATGAATATTAATTAATATTAATATTCCTTTTCCCCTCATTTAGTGTGCTCCCAATTAAATGACACACAACAAGTTCAATCATTCTTCCAGTTGCTTCTTTTGAACATTCCACATACAGACACTGCAGTTCTCTCTATTTTCACTGCTTTGTTAGAACTGAACTGTCTTGTCAGTAGAGGCAGTGTCTAACAGCAATGTAGTCCATTTATTATGGCCTGTGAAATGCAACAACTGATGCATAAAATTAAAATTAATAGCTGGTTCCAGCTATAATGCCTCATTTCCTTATTCCACATTCTACATTAATTATAATTACACACAGGCTTCCAGGACATTCATCAATGTGGGTATTTTGCGTAGCGTCTCTTATGTCACCATTGCTGTCGATGCAAAGCACTATGATGGAGGAGGGTGCTCTCCAGCATTCTTCTTTTCTACTGAGGGTTCATTATATGAATCTCTAATAAGATTTATCAGACAGCCCCGTGCTTGCAAAACAGCTCCCGACACTTCTCTCTTATTTATTCCTACAGCGATCTCTACAGTGGAAGGAGTCAGGGTAACAAATAGCTACTGCTTATTTATCCAAGACAAGAAGAAGCACTGTAGGTAACAGACGTACAAGAGATACAAAACAGCCTAAATCTTTAAGCTACCAAGTGTTGAAACTATACAGGTCCAATGAACAAAATATCATTTATATCTGTAGGAGTGAATGGTTATTCACCTTCCATCGGGGTGAAGTTTTAAACTTCAGTACATTTTCCAACAATAAGAAAAACAACTTTGCAGTCAACAGTAACTGCAGGAAGCCATTTGTGCAAACAGTTTATAGAGGTTAATTTTGGGATTGTATTTGTGAATTACATTAGCACCTTATCTTACAGGATTGCACTGGCCAAATTGGAAAGTGCTATCGACTACTTCATTAATTGCTTATCTACAGTGCAGTTTACACAGACATAAATCTGAATTTGATGTAAGTATTTTTCTTTTTAGATCAGGGATTGGAAAAAAAATTAGAAATTTAAAAGCATATTGGATTTCTATTGACATGAACAGGCATAATGGACTTTCAAGTGAGTCAACATTATTTCCTAATTATATCTAAAAACAACACTTTTCAATTGTGTTTGGATTCAAGAGTAAAGAGAGAACAATGGTAGGAGGTTGTTAATTTCCCTAATAGGCTTTCAACAAATCCCAGGTCTCAGTCTATGTTCCATGTCATGTTTCAAGTTACAGTATCAGATATCAGATATCAGCACTAAGGACAGTTCTTTAGTTAAGAATGCAAGAAGTCACACAACTGTTCCTCACGTTAGTTCAAATTCTAACCTTATTTGATTCTTCATTTCCATTAAGTCTCATGTGTTCAAGAAAGAAAACTATACATTCTAAGATTATTATTACAGCATTTCTACAAGGCACAAATGATTCATTGTATTGACAGAATCCACTACACAATCATTAGAAAAGAATATGTTTCTTACTTATCCATGATATTGTGGAAATCAGGAAATCTGGTATTGAAAATTTTGAGAAAACAAAGCACCTGAGATCTACATAGTCATATGCCATTAAAACCACAAATACAAATACATTTTGCCTCTGGCTACTAAAAGTTCAGGGAAGACATTATTGGAATCATTCTTGTTGGTTAAGCCCTCGAGTAAACTCATGACCACAGGGAAAGATTTTATTACACTTGACTGATTCATTTGATGGGAGTACATCAGAGTTTAACTGGCACAATTCCATGAAACAGCCACTGCAGTAGCTACAGAAACTGAAAAGAATCTGTAAACATTTACCTGAGTCTATGAACTGTGAAGTGTAAAAATTATATTAATTATTTTAGTTGTACTTGCCATAATTGAACAAACAGCAAGTTGTTTTTTTTTATGATAACCATGTCTGCTATCACAAATACCAAAAACACTCAATACAATTAAAATAATATTACATGTTGAATTCTGGAAGATTATCTCTCACATTGCTTTGGACAAGCTATGGCTGTGCTATTTTTCAGGTGCATACTGCACATGTAACTGTTGAACCTAACAGAGAACCAATAAAAAATAATTATTTCGACATTTCAATTAAACAAAAATAATTTAAATTTTGTTTTGATCATTAAAAGTTAGATTAAATTAAACACTACTTTACAGGAACATGAACACAGTTAAGGGTTGTAACATGTCAATTTTAATTCTGTTTAGTTTAGAAGCTTATCTCTCATTGTATCTTAAACTCCCATTGTAGGAGTTATTAAGGAGTCAAATACTTGGTAGAAGTCTGGGGATTTCTGGGTGTTTAAGATGTCTCTGGGGTGCCTTATTTGAAAGCTTGTACATTATATAACTCGTGTGTTGTATGTTTATGATGTGTGTTGTTTGGTGTATATGTTGTCATTATTAATATACATTTGTTTTACCAAGTGTCCCTGAATTACTGTATTATTCTTTTCACCAAAGCTGTGCCAGAGAACAAAGCACAAAAGAAAGGTATGTTCTTGGCAAAAGTCTTTAAAAGTTGGGAGTTATGATGATTTATTTATGTATCGACTGTCCTGCCCAGTCATTTTCTGATATTCACTGTTTTCATAACTTCACTTGTAACAAGATTTTATATTTTCGGAAATACTTGTGAAATACATTACCTCTCCAACAAATCACTTCAAACATGTTCTATGACAAAAATACCAGAACTACATACACATACATTATGTAAAACATATGTGCAAACTAGACTATTAGGACTATTCAAGGGTTTTCACTCTCTTTATCCCATAACAAAGCGAAAGCATTTTTAAATTGATTTCTATTGCGCTGATTCTCATATTTCCTTTAACAACAGAGTGCAATGTATTCTCCTCACAGCTTCATACAAACA